GGGCCTGCGTTGATGGAATATGCTTACATCCAGGCATATGCATGGGGAAGATGTGTGTGTGAGCATGCTTCATGTACACAGACAGCACACGCACACTGAATATATTCAAGGTGCCCATTGATGACTGCAGGCACATACCCACACATTCAGCTGCACGTGCCAGCAGTGCTGACAGCTGACACCCACACTGACGGTAGGCACTCATTTGGTGGAACAGGTTCTGGGCCAGAAGGTAGGCCCAGGGCCTGTTGCGTCGATGCCACCTCTGGTCCTCCTGCAGAGCTGCGATTCTCCATCCACTGCTGGGGGAGATACCATGACCACCAAAAGCCCCCAGTGCTGTGGGTCAGGGACAGGTAGGGTTACACTCATCCACTTTGCCCACTTTGTCATTGGCTCAGGGGTCCTCCCAGTGAGCACATCAGGGTCCCATGGGCCTCATTGTGCTCTGTGTGGGTATGCTGTGCATTGGTACACTAATGATGTTCTGCTGGAAGTGTGGACAGGTGGATGCCATTCAGGAAGCCACTGGGTGGTACTGGGTGAAAACTATCATGGCTATTTGCACACATGTGTGATATGGTCGTGAGACTGTGCCTGATGTGGGTGGGGAAGTTGTGAAATGGTGTGAACATGACGCAGAGGGTGTCAGTGCCCGTGTATGGCTGTGATCCAAGGTATGCATGTACATGTATCTGGTTGGTGGTACTGTGTGTCTGTGTCCATGATGTGTGGTGTGTGTCCACCTGGTGCTGTCCCCATGGTTGCCTGGGCAGGTGAGCAAGTGTGTTCTTCCCCCAAATGGTATCCGGAAGAAAGGGTCGCTTTGTGTGTGTATGTTTGTGTGTGTTTGCACATGTACGTGAGCTGGCCTTGGGCTCCTGCTGAGGCTGTGCTGTCTTCAAAGCTGACACCTCTGTCGGTTTGTTCTCTATGTCTGTACCGGGCTGGGCTAGTGCCCCTCCCCCAGCAGCTCTGAGTAGTCGGCAGGCTGTGGGTAGCCAGCTCCGGCTGCCCTCTGTGTCCCCTGCTCCGTAGGCTAACCTGGCTGTGTGGCTGTCCATGATCGGTCTGGCCCAGTACTATAAGGTGCTGGTGGACAATGGCTATGAGAACATCGACTTTATCACTGACATCACCTGGGAGGACCTGCAGGAGATTGGAATCACCAAGCTGGGTGAGGCCCCAGCCCCCACCACTTCCCGGTCCTTGCCACCCTCCATGGCCTGACCTGCCCTATGCCCCATTCAGGACACCAGAAGAAGCTGATGCTGGCAGTGAGGAAACTGGCAGAGCTGCAGAAGGCCGAGTATGCCAAGTATGAGGGGGGACCTCTGCGCCAGAAGGCGCCGCAGTCCCTTGAAGTGATGGCCATTGAGTCACCGCCCCCACCTGAGCCTGCCCCAGCTGACTGCCAGTCTCCGAAGATGACCACCTTCCAGGACAGCGAGCTCAGTGGTGAACTGCAGGCTGCCATGACTGGTCCGGCAGAAGGGGCTGCCACCCCTGCTGCTGCTGAGAAGCCCTCCAACCACCTGCCACCGACCCCAAGGGCCTCCCTGCGTCAGGAGCCCAGCCTGGGTGGGCGGGCACGGCACATAAGCAGCTCTCAGGAACTGCTGGGTGACGGGTTCCCTGGGCCTGGCAGCCCTATGTCACGAAGTCAGGAGTACCTACTAGATGAGGGACCAGCCCCTGGTACTCCACCTAAGGAGGCTCGGCCCAGCCGCCACAGCCACAGCATCAAACGGGCCAGTGTGCCCCCAGTGCCCGGCAAGCCTCGGCAGGTCCTTCCACAAGGTGCCAGCCCCTTCACACCCCCCCAGACTCCCACTAAAGCTCGGCCAGGTTCCCCCCAGGCTCTGGGGGGACCTCATGGTCCAGCCCCAGCCACAGCCAAGGTGAAACCAACCCCACAGCTGCTGCCACCAATGGAGCGACCCATGTCGCCCCGCTCACTGCCTCAGTCACCCACACACCGTGGCTTTGCCTATGTGCTGCCCCAGCCTGTGGAGAGCGAGGCAGGGCCAGCTGCTCCTGGGCCTGCATCTGCCCCTGCACCTACGCCTGTGCCCATGCTGTGTCTGCCCCCTGAGGTCGACGTGGAGCCTGGGCGGCCCAAGAAGCGTGCCCACAGCCTGAATCGCTATGCAGCATCTGACAGCGAGCCAGAGCGGGATGAGCTGCTGGTGCCAGCTGCTGCGGGGCCCTATGCCACAGTCCAGCGGCGTGTAGGGCGCAGCCACTCAGTACGGGCACCTGCCGGTGCTGACAAGAATGTCAACCGCAGCCAGTCCTTTGCTGTGCGGCCCCGAAAAAAGGGGCCCCCACCACCTCCACCCAAGCGCTCTAGCTCAGCCATGGCCAGTGCCAACCTGGCTGATGAGTCAGCACCTGATGCTGAGACCAAGGGAGCGGGGACTGAGGATGGCCAACTGGGGGTCCGGGCACAGCGCCGGCGGGCTAGTGACCTGGCTGGCAGTGTGGACACAGGCAGTGCTGGCAGTGTGAAGAGCATCGCAGCCATGCTAGAACTGTCCTCCATTGGGGGTGGGGGCCGGGCAGCCCGTAGGCCCCCTGAGGGCCACCCCACACCTCGCCCTGACAGTCCGGAGCCAGGTCGGGTGGCGACAGTATTAGCCTCTGTGAAGCACAAGGAGGCTATTGGGCCTGATGGAGAGGTGGTGAATCGGCGCCGCACGCTCAGTGGGCCTGTCACAGGACTTCTGGCCACTGCCCGCCGGGGGCCTGGGGAACCAGTGGGGCCTGCAGATCATGGCCACTTTGTGGAGGATGGCACTAGCCGGCAGCGGCTTCGAGGTCCAGCCAAGGGAGAGGCGAGTGGGGAAGGCCCTCCCTTGGCCCGGGTGGAAGCCAGTGCCACACTGAAGAGGCGCATCCGAGCCAAGCAGAGCCAGCAGGAGAATGTCAAGTTCATCTTGACTGAGTCCGACACAGTCAAGCGACGGCCCAAGGCCAAGGAACGGGAGGCAGGTCCGGAGCCACCCCCATCACTGTCTGTGTACCAGAATGGTACAGGCACTGTACGCCGCAGACTGGGTTCTGAGCAAGCTGGACCCCTGGAGCTGCCCCCTCCACCCCCACCTGCTGAGTCTTCGCCCTCCGACCTGATGCACTTGCCCCCGCTGCCCCCACCTGACAGTGATGCCCGGAAGCCAGCCAAGCCACCTGTCTCGCCCAAGCCTGTCCTGGCTCAGCCAGTGCCCAAGATCCAGGGGTCACCCTCACCTGCCTCCAAGAAGGTGCCGTTACCAGGTCCTGGCAGCCCAGGTAGGTGAGGGAGCCAGCTGGGGAAGAGCCGCCACCCCATTTCACCACTCCGTGGTCTGAAGGGTTTTTCTCTTCTTGGATATGATGGCAGCCGGGTGGAGTGAGGTGGGAAAGTGTCCTCAGAGTATCTCATCCATCCACCTATGGGACAGCTCTGCCAACCCAGAGCCAGGAGGAGAGTAGCTGATCCTCAAGTTACTTAGTGAAGGAGGCAAAGAAACCCACTAATAGTAGCACCTGTGGAGGGAAGACAGGCACACAATGCTGGGTCAGGGAGGACTCTGATCCAGCTGGAGAGTGACCCCAGCAAAGGAGAGAGAGGAGAGGCTTTCGGGCAAAAGGAACCGGGGTGCAAAGGCCCTGTGGCAGTTAAGCAACCGAAGGGCTACACCTGGAGGGGATAAGGTGGGAGGGTGGATAGGGAGGGATCTGGAAGCAGTGTTGTGACCAGGCTTGCCCGCGTCCCCAGTCCGCAGCTGGAGGCTGGGGTGGGAGGGGCAGTGGAGGGCTGCGGGAGCAGGGCTGCAGTATTGAGGGCCATATCTCCACTCCTGGGTGCGAGGCGGAGTGCTGCGGTAGGGCTAGTGCAAGAATGGGCAGCGTACGCACAGCGCGACCTCCTACAGCGGTGCGAGTCTCCTTCTCCCCGCAGAGGTGAAGTGTGCCCATGGCACACCGCCGCCCGTGTCTCCCAAGCCTCCGCCACCGCCCACGGCACCCAAGCCGGCCAAGGCCGCGGCGGGACTGCAGTCAGGCAGCGCCAACCCGTCGCCCACGCCCTCACCGGCGCGCCAGGCCCCCATTGCCCTCGCCAAGCCAGCCAGCACGCCGCCCTCGCTGAGCGCCAGCCCCGCCAAGCCCCCGTCTCCGGGCGCACCCGCGCTGCACGTGCCCGCCAAGCCGCCGCGCGCCGCCGCCGCCGCCGCCGCCGCCGCTGCCGCCGCCGCCGGGCCCTCTGTCCCGTCCGAGGGCGCCTTGCTTGGGGACAGCGCCCGGCAGAAGCTGGAGGAGACTAGCGCGTGCCTGGCAGCGGCGCTGCAAGCAGTGGAAGAGAAGATCCGGCAGGAGGATGCACAGGGCCTGCGGTAGGTGTGGGGCGGGGGTCTGGCGTGGGGTGTGGGGCGTCTGTGTGCCTCCCGGGTTAGTGCACTCCTGAAGATGTAGCTACGGGGTAGGGCTGAGTCCTGCAAGGAGGGGCATAACCGATGCCTCGAGGGCATGGTTTCGTACAGACCCACACCTTACAGAGCAGGGTGGGTCCCGGCATGGGCAGGGTTTTCACGCCACCCCATTATTTACATTCTGAGGCTGCGGTTCTCCGCTCGAGTCGAGGGTGGGGCGGGGTAGGTCGTGGGGCGTGGCTTTCAGATGGCCACGCCCACACGCTGCTGATTGAATGGAGAGTTTGGCCTATGTAGGAGTGGGGCTTGGCCTTTTTGGCTGGCCCCACCCTGCTCTGCTCTACTCACACGGCGCTCACCCCCAGCCCCTCCGCCACGGAGAAGAGCACTGGCAGTATCTTGGACGACATCGGCAGCATGTTTGATGATCTGGCGGACCAACTGGACGCCATGCTGGAATGATGGGGCCCACGTTGGGCCCACCCATGCTGCCTGGGCTCCGGCTGCACACTGACCTTTACCTCAGGATGGGCACCTCTGGGCTCGGCGCAAGTGGGCAAGGTGGGAGGCTGAGGTGCAGGGGACAGCCTGCTAGAGCCACGAGGCGGGGGCGGGTCGTGCTGGCCAGTCTCTGCACAAGCACAACTCCTGCCCCCTGGGCCCAGGCAGGATGCCCAGCTTGGAAGACTGCCAGGCCTAGGGACCAAAGGGCTCTGGACAGATGCTGCTGCCTTGTGGGTGCCCGTCCCTGTCTGCTGCTCCCTGTGCAATAACTGCTGGGCCATCTGCCCACCCACCACCAGGCTCTGCTGTGTGTAGAGGAGGGGCAGCCATTAGCACCCCTGCCCTGAGTCCATGCTGGGCCCACCCTGGGAGGTAGTGGGAGGGGGGGCAAATACTGTAGCCCCCTCCCCAATCAGTGGCAAAGCACAGGCCTATGCCCAGCACAGAACTGCCCATTGGGAACCTCTGCCAGCTGTTCTGGCACAGCACAAGGGGCTGGGGTCAGGACCCCTGCCCCACTCTACCCCACAGAATATAAGCTATCGAGAGTATTAATTTATCGGGAATGAGCTGAGGCAGATTTCCCTAGAGAAACAAAAAGGTATAACTTTAACGAATATATATTTAAAGAAAGAAAAATATTATTGATTCTATAGAAAAACCATTTACCAACTGCAAGGACACTGGAGTCTAGCTTGAGACAAATGCTCTTAGAGGCTCTGGCCCCTATCCATCCTTTCTTCTATCCAGGAGTGGCCAGACCCCTGGTCCAGTAGCACAAACAGTAGGCTGGGGTCTAGGGAAAGGTCTGTGCTCCACCAGGGCCTCCCTCTGCTCTCTCTCCCAACTTCTTTGTGTCTGAAGAACTCGAAGGATGTGCCTTGCTGCTGGGCTGTGTCCTCCATACCGTGGAGATGGGGGGAGGGCTTCCTCCCCATTGGGGGGAAGGGGTGCTGCTGTGAAGGTCTGCCTGGGTCTTGAGGGAGCTGTGCACACAGCGTGAAGTGGCAGGTCAGCCAGATGACAGCAGTGGGTGCAGGGTGTGCATGCCAGGCTGCGTGTGGTATGTGTGATGGTGTGCCTGACCCTCCCTCCCCAGGCCCAGAGCAGGCAGCCAGCCCACCCCTATCTGAATTCCCACAGATGCTTCTGCTCATGGTCCAAGACTGTGTCGTGTGGTTGTTCTCACTCTCTCTCTCTCCTCTCCCTCAACCCCTCCAAAAGTACTGACTGGCCTCCTCTATTGTGTTTGCTGATCCACGTGTGTTGGACACAACTTTGACATTTCTTTAAAAAAATTTTAAAAAATGCCAAAAACCAGCGATTGTGATGCAGGTGGGTGGAGGGGGTCAGCCAAGGTGGCGTCTGGGCATGTGAGACCCCTTCCAGTTGTCACGTGGTGATGCTTCCCCTAGTGGAGGCACCTGGTTATCTACCTGACCTCTCCTTAGTGGGTGGCCCAGGCTGGGGCTCCAGCAGGTGGGGAGGGGGTCTGGGCAGGGAGGTACTATAGCTGTCAATAAACAGCAAAAAATGGCCTGGCTCACTTTTTGGTGGTGTGTGTTGGGAGAATGGTGGTGGTGGTGTGGGGGGCGGACCTCGCCTGTTCCTGACAGGGAGGGGAAGTCGCTGAGAGGGCTATATCCTGGGGTCAACAGACAATAGGAACCCTTTGTGTGGCCCCTCCCCAGATTCCCTTCCACTGCTGCTGGTGCCTGGGCACACCAGTATTCTTGGGCAGCCTCTCCCTCATCCCAGGACCATCCCCACTCACAGCCACAGTCTGTGCAGCTTTTATTTCAATCAAGAAATAATCAAATCTATGTATAGTCTAAAAACAATAGAAAAGGTAAGTAAAAAGGGCCCCATAGTCCATCAGGAATGGGGATGGAAGGTGGACTGGGTGAGCATTATACCTGGAGTGTAGAGGGAGGGTCTGGGTACTGTCCTGGCAGCAACGATGACAGAGCCAAACAGAGGGAGGCTCGCCCGGTGCAGGATCAGGAGGGCACTGCCTGGCCAGGTCAGCCTGCCCACCTATCCAAAAATGGGTAGGCAGAGACTCCTGAGACCACTCAGGTGGCCAGCCTGGCTCGGACAGGCCTATGGTAGGCCCAGAAGAAGCCAAGACCTGGCCTGGATCTTGTCAGCAAGTCCAAACCTGCAGAGAAAGGGCTCTGTTTCAGATGCCTCTTTGGCCATCCTGCCCCAACATCACCTGCCATTCATACCTGCCCTACACTGTCACCTCCCCAGGGCTGCTGGCTCCTCACCCCCAACCCATTGCTCTACATGTGCAGCCAGCCCCTTTGGATGGTCCAGCCAAGGCACTGACCTTCACAGTGCTGTCCACAGCCCCTGAGAAGAGCCGGCCCCGGGACACAGCCAGTGCAGTTACACTGCCCTGGTGACGCAGCAGGGTCTGTGTGCAGATCATGTTGTCCATACTCCAGACCTGGGGACACATGAGACATGAGGCCCACCTGGGTCAGGCCACCGACCCCGAGCCTCCCACTGCTACCAGGCCAGCACAGACCCTGAGAGACCGATCATAGGATGCACTGAAGACTTTGGTCTGGTCTGGTGTTGAGATGACCGCCAGGGCATACACAGTACCAACGTGGCCTGTCAGGGTCCGCACCTGCTCCTTGGACTCAATGTCCCACACCTGAGGTGATAGCACAGGTAGGTCAGAGACACAGATGGGAGAGGACAGGGAGCCAGAGTCAGGCCTTGCTCCTAGGTGTCCACCCTTATACCACCCTTACGTGGATGAGGTTCTCGTAGGTGCCACAGACAATGTGGTGATTTGTCACGGCAATAGAGTATACACTGCCACCAGATGTCTGTAGGACATGGATGCAATCGAGGGTCCGGATATCCCAGATCTATGGGTAAGCAAAGGCCACTTGATCTCAGGCCAGGTGCCTCACCCCCAGGGCCTCGGGCTCAGACACCGTGGGCAGCCCACCCACCACCCAGGATGTGTGTGAGGGTCTTCGTGCCCCGATGGGAAGGGGGCAGGACAGTGCTGGTACAGGGAGGGGCCCTGCCACCAGGAGTGTGGCAAAGAGGTACCTTGATTGTCTGGTAGGAGCCACTGTACAGGTAGCTCTGGGCAGCCACCAGGGCCCGCACCCAGTGGTTGAGGCCTGTTAGCTCCTTCTTCAGCTTCAGCTCAGTGCCCACAATGTCCCAGACCTGTGGGAACGGCTGTGAGCACAGGCTGGGTGGCCAGGCATTCAGCACCCCAGTGCCTGGCACATGCACGCACAATGCCTTGCCTGACCTTGATGGCCTTCAGGGAGCCACTGAAGAGCATGTTGTGCGAGGAGACCAGTGTGCACACCGGGTTATCGTGGGCCCGGATCGTGTTCACCTTCTGCAGGTTCTGGATATCCCACACCTGGTGGGTGGGAGGACCAAAAGCCTCAGGCACCAGCCCTGCTTCCCTGAGCCCAGGCCCCAGTGGTAGGGTGTGCCTGGGGCTCCCAGATACTGATGTGCAGCATGGCCCCTCCCGCAGGCCCCACTCACAATGATGGTGCAGTCTGCTGAGCCGCTGTAGAGCTTGCACCTGGGGAAGCAAAGCTAAGGAGTCAGGGCAGAAGGCATTGTCCTCACTGACAGGGCCCTGCAGGCTGAGATAGCGCTGGCCACCAGGAATCAGCAGCTCGGGGCAATGCCAAGGCCACTGCTGCTTCCTTAAGCCTAGTCTCAGTGAAGGGATGTTGGAAGTGGAGGCCCAAACCCTGGTGCCTGCATGGCAAATATCTGACAGAGAAGCTGGGAGGTAATTAATTACCCAGTTAGCGCTGCTGGCAGTCAAGCTACTTTCTGTGATCGAAAATCCCTCTGTAACTCACTCATGCCCACAACATAAAACCTCCTAACACAAGACAGCAGGGAAGGTCTAGAAGAGGGTCAAGGAGGTGGCTGGACCAGGTGCTCTGTGGTCCTGTTCCCAAGCTGTGCCCAGGTCAGAGATAGCTGAGCTCCTGCCTCTACTCTGTGATGTCCCACCTCAGTCCTGAGAGATGGAGGGACCACATGCTACCAGCCGAGGCGCCGCCTGCTCAAGGTCACGAGTGCCTCACAGGAGGGGCAGGTACAGTCACATGTGGACATGTGGCTATACAGGCTTGAGCTCACAATCCATGGGGAAGCAGCATGGGGTCTCATGTCCCCGGCTCCATGTGGACTCCTGTGGTCAGTGGATACACACACGCTTGCACTCACCCCTGGATGCAGAGTGCCAACACAATGCCGTCATGGCCCTCTAGCGTCTTCTGGCACTTATAAGTAGTACATGTGTCCCAAACCTGCAGAGACCAGGGTCAAGATGGGTCCCAGCAAGATCAGTCAGATGCCAGGGGTGGTGGGAATGAGGAAGCAAGCCATCCTCAGGGAGAGAGCCCCACCTATGAGAGGAATACCCACCCATGGGCAGTACCCACCCTTCACCCTGCTAAGCTGCAGAGCCCACCTAGGCAGGATCCCACCCACCTTGATGGTCTTGTCAGAGGAACCGCTGAAGAGCAAGTCCCCCATGGAGTAGACACAGAGACACCAGACGGGGCCCTGGTGGCCCACAAAGGTTCCTTTGCACTTGAAGATCTGCTGCGGGTCATAGGCTGCAGAGACAGGAGGAGCTGGTGAGGGACCTGGGGAGGCCTTAGGACAGTGGTGGGAACAGCAGTGGGCCCATACTCACATCCTAGGATGCCCATGTTCAGCCGTGCATTGATGTGGGACAACTCATCCTGTAAGGCCAAGAATGAACAGCATGGTGGCTGTAGCTCCACAGTGTCCCTGCCCGCCAGCCTGGGCTTGGCTGGGGCAGGGCAGGTGCAGCAGCAGCCTTCCCCAGCATAGACACCTAATCCTGAGCAGGGTAAGCCTCCTGCTGGCGCCCAACCAGGACAGTCCTGTGTCCCCCACATCCCCTGCATCTGTCTCTCGCCTGCTCACGTTCAACATGGATGCGTCCCTCCGGAACTCCATGAGGTCCTCGCTCAGCTTGCTCTGGTTTTCATCCAGGACATCTGAGTGGCAGGGCAGAGGGTGTCAGGGACCAGGAGGAGGAGCTGCACCCTCACCCCTTCTGGGCTGGAATCTCACCGAACTTGAGCTCCAGGCTCTTCTCTAGCTGGTCAATCTTCTCTGAGAGCTTGCCTAGCATGGAGCGCAGGAAGGCGATCTCCTGATCCTTCTGGGCCAGCGCCACGTGCATCTCGTGGAAGCGGTCATCTGTCTGCTGCAGAAACTCCTTCAGGCCCTCAAAGCGGCAGGTCTCCAGGTGCGTCTCATACGTGTCCTGGTTCCCGATGAATGTGCACCTAGAGGGACAGGATGGCTGCCTGCCCCCTTGCTCACCTATTATGACTCTTATCTCTGCCTCCCCAACCCTAAGAATCTCTCACAAATCCCACTTTTGTGCCCACTGCACCCCAGATGGGCCACCATCCTCTCCACACCTGCATGCCCACCCATCTATCCTGCCCCCACTAGCAGCCAGCACTCAGCACCCAGCAAGCCACTTTCCGAGGGATATCCAATCACTCTACTCCTGCTCAAAGTTCTTCAAGCGTTCCTCCACACCCCTCACCAGCCTGTCTCTTCCCACTCCATCTCCCTTCTGCTTTCAACTCTGGCCATTTGCTCAAGTCCACCCCCGCTGGCCCAGCTGTTGGAAGCCCTTGCCCGGGTCTTTGCCTGGCTCATGCCCACACATTCGTTAGTTCTCATCTTATGCCTTCCCTGACCACTCCCAACTCCCCAACCACTCTGACCCCTCTGTGTTCCCATGGGGCTCTGGTCTCTCCTTCACAGCATCTGTACCTCGATTTGTAATTACATAGTCCACGGTGTAGCTCTTGCTAAGGTCCATCTCCCCAGGGACCCCAGCTGTCTCCCCAGTGCCTGACACACAGGTGGATCTCAACAAAGGTTTGCTGAAGGAGGACTGTGAATGATAGCCCAGGCCCACCCTCCTGCCCACTCGCCCCTGCCCCAGGACAACCCTCTTAAGCCCACCCCCGCCCACTCACCCGTACTTGGAGTGGGGACACTTGATGTGCTCACACTCCTTGAGGTGGGCCTCTAGGTTCATCTTGAGAAGGGGTGGGCAGCTGGGGTTGTTAGGGCACCGCACAGGCCTGTAGTCACAGCTGCTCTCGTGATCCCTGTGGGAGGCAAGACACAGAACAGCTGAGTCCCCAGAGGCACCGTTTTTAGCACCTCTGATCAGTGGGAAGCTGGGGGCCAAGGAGGGACACTTACTTCCGGGCACTGAGCTTAATGGTGAAGGGGCACCCTCGGGGGTCCACCTCAAAGACAGTGGGCTTCCCGACCCCTGCTGCCCGACAGCCATGCTTGCAGTGGATGGAAAGCTCCCCGATCTGCTCGGCCACAGCAATGTTGTTCACCACCACCGTCAGCTTGGCATTGTCCACAGGACACTTCTCTGGAGGGGAGGGCATGCTGACCCCATGGCCCGCTCAGCCAGACCCTCCCCTGACAGCTCTGCCAGGGTAGTGGCCAGGCTATGCAGAGGGGAGACTGTTCCCTCTGTACTTGGTAAGTGGCCTGGAACCTGCTCCCTCAACTGGTGGGCTGAGCCTCTGTCAGGGACTTAATCTACCCATCTACCTGCCCTTCTGAGGTGCCCAGAATAGGAAGGGGTGCATGGCGCCACAAAAATGACTGCTGAGTGACTGGAGGCCTCTCAGCTGACCTGAAAGTGTGGGACAAGGCCAAGAGGGCTGGGGACAGAGCAGGAGGGGACCCAGCCCTGGGCCTGGCAAGCGTGCCTGGATGCTAAGGCTCGAGACTTCGAGCCAAAAGCCTTGACACTGAGGGTGGCCTCCACCTGGGAGAGCAGGTGCAGAGCCTGGGAAGCCCCAAGTTGTGGGCCATATTGCTCTGCTTGTCAGTGTCTTGAGTCTGGCTCCAGTGCACCAGGGGCTGCCACCACCCGCAGCATAAACACTTTGAGCAGGACTGGGAGAAGCTGCCGTGCAGCCAGGGACATGATCAGTGCTAGGCCTGGGCTGGGACCTCCCTGGAAGGGCCTCCCCCCTCAGCTGGGGAACAAGGTGGCCAGGCCTAGGTCTGAAAGGGCCCTACCTGACTTCAAGGCACATCTTCGACAGAAGGTATGCTGTGGAGACAATGGGTAGTGGTGAGGCACAGCTACAGTCACCCCTACCCCGTGCCCACTGCAGAGGGCACCTGCTGGGCAGCCAGACCACACCGGTAACCAAGGCCCAGGTCCCACATGGATGGGGCTGGCAGCCCATCCGGCCCTAAGGTGGTGCACAGGTCAGGAGGGGACAGGCAGCCTCACCCCACACGTGGTGATCACAGGGTCCTTGAACACAGTGCAGCAGAGCTGGCAGCACAGCTTCACCGAGAGCTGCTCGGCAAATACCAGTGGCTCCTAAAACCAGGCAGGGCAGGTGTAGGTGAGCCCAGGGGTGCTGACGTGGGTGGGGGGGACCCAGCCCCTCCCCCATAGTCCTGGGCTGCCCTCTCAGGGTCTCCACAACTGGAGAGTGTCCCAAGAAAAGCCTGTTGAGGCCCAGGGCTAGGCCTGAACTTGAGGAAGCCCAAGCAGGGAGGACTCCTCCAGCTGTGCCCTTGGCAGCCAGCCCCTACTCTCTACCTGGGATGGCAACAAGAGCGAGCCCCACACGGGTTCCTGAAGCTGGTCCCTGGGCAGCCCCTGGGGTCGGGAGTAGTGAAGAACATGCCTAGGGGACCTGGCCTGGGGTCCCTGATGTGGACAAGAGGAGATGGGGGGCCCTGACCAGGTCCCATCACCCCCTCATTGTGCCCAAGGGGAAAGTGCTCCCCACCACTGCCACAGCATAGTAAGAGTCCTCTGTGCTGAGCCCACCCTGTGGCCACACCTACCGGTTCCTCCTCCTCCTCAGGCAGCGAGAACGTGGAGCGCAGGGACATGCTGGACTCGGAGTGCAGGGAACGAACGGAGATGGCCGAGTCAGAGCGACGTGGGGTGCTGATGGGGGGCTGCAGCATGGAGACAGACACCCGTCAGCCAGGGGGAGGGCAGGGCCAAGCCCCTGTGCACATTGAGGGCAGTGGGCCCCCCAGGGCCACCCCATCCTAGTGGGTGCTCACTCAGGCTACAGGGGCTGTGGTGTATGTATGGGAGCCTGTGCTATGCCCAGGCCCCCTTCTGCCCAGTGGTCCAGGCCCTGTTGGGCCTCCCGCTCACATCTGCCAACTTTCTTTGTGTAAATGGAGAGACTTCCTGCTATTCAATTCTGTGAGGACACGCTAGGCCTGCTTCCTGCTTCCCGTGAGGGAATGTGGGCTGCAGAGGGGGCATCTCCAGCAGCCAATCCCAGGGCAGCCGCAGCTCTGGACTGCTGGAGCGAAGGGAATGGAAGGCTGGCCGGAAGAGGCTCCAGGTGCCCGCTAGGCTCAGCTGCCTGCCTGGCCTCCTGGCTGGGGACACTGGGCCAGGCAAGTGAGGCTCCCAGGGAAGACAGGGACACCCCCACTGAACCTTGGCCAGGCTTCTGAGTGCAGGAGGGACAGCCATGGGTGCCTGCCTCTGCCAGAGACACCAAAGATGAGGATTTGGGGGAATCCTGGGGTAGGGGGCTGTCCCTTCCTCCCCTCTAGGCCTGGAACCCTCCAGAAGAGATCCTTCAAGAGCTATTTCTCCCACACTCCTTCCCTCACACTCAGAAGCTCATTCATGAGCCACAAACCTCCTGCCCCCACAGGCCCCTCCTGGTCCCGGCTGCTCTGGGGCCCAGCTGCCTCTGAGCCTCTGTGGGTGTGGGAGCTGTGGGAACCATCCCCTCCCCACCAGCCCAGGGTATTTGACCCACCAAAGGCAGAGGGAGGCTTGGCCAGATGGTGCCAGCTCTGCAGAGGCCCAGCCAGTTCCAGGGGCCAGCTTTTCCAAGTGAGGGCAGCAGAGACCCGTGTCCCTGGTATGCCCACAGATAGCACCTCCCTCACCAGTCCACCTCCCTTCACAGCGTCCCAAGTGGTGAGTCTGAATGGAAATGCCACATGAGGAACAAGGAGAAAGTCGGAGAAAGTGAGTCAAACCATCCCCATGGGCAGCAGTGGAAACCAGAGGGCAAGAGCAGGTCCAGACAGGAGCTCAGCCAAGCAAGCCAGGCCAGGCCTGGCTGTGCTCTCCACTGCCTGCCTGCCTTCCTGAGTGAGGGGGCTGGCACTGTCAACCACCCAGGGCAGGTGGAGGGGCAGTATGCAGGGACCCAGCAGCCAACAGAGAAGGTGCCCAGGTGGCCATGGCCTCAGGGCCTTCACAGCACATTTCCACCTCCTTCAAGCCACCAAGCACCAGGATCACAACCACACACACAGGAAATTCACTTCTTGGAGGCCTCAGCGGCAGGGTGGGACTTTTGATCCCAGCCACACTCCCGTGGGCACGTCAGGGGTTGTGGAGACTGAGGCAGGAAGAGCTGGAAGGAGTGGGGCACATTCTGTGACTTGTCCTTAAAGAGGCCTGGCACATGAGTGTGTTTGTTCAAGTATTTAAAAATACTGTTTTCTTCTACCCAGCTGGTGTGGCTCAGTGGCTGAGCGTCGACCCATGCACCAAGAAATCGCCGATTCGATTCCAGGTCAGGGTACATGCCCAGGTTGTGTGCCCAATGCCAAGTGGGGGGCATGTGGGAGGTGGCCAACTGACGTTTCTCTCTCATCGATGTTTCTATCTCCCTCTCCCTTCCTCTCTAACATCAATTAAAAAAATTTTTTTCCTTTATTGACCTTAGAGTGAGAGGACATGAGAGCGAGGGAGAGAGAGAAACATCGATGAGAGAGAACATCGAATGGCCGCCTCCTGCATGCCCCCCACTGGGGATCGGGCCCACAACCTGGGCATGTGTCCTGACCGGGAATTGAACGGCAACCTCTTGGTACGTGGGTCAATGCTCAACCACTGAGCCACACCAGCTGGACAAAAAAAAAATTTTTTTTTTAAATATTGTTTCTTCTTACTAAATGAGGAACAAATGCCCAGCAGCCCAGCATGAGCAGAAGCCTTTGGTCCTGAGAAGCTGGAATAGTGGGAGAACCAGGACAGTCTGTCAGGGGCTACCACCAAGGGAAAGCAGAAAGCAGGGCACAGGACAGGTCAGTGGTGGGAGGGCTTAAGCACGCTGGTTTCTCCCCCACCCCAGCTGAACCAGTCCTTGCTTCCCCAAGCAGGCCCAGAGCCCAGCAATGAGCGTCAATGGACAGAGAGTGGGTCCACTATGACCCCAGCCACATAGCCTGGGCACCGACAGCCAGCCTCCACTCTACCCTGAACCCTTTTCTCAATCTGCAGAGCTAGCAATAAGGGGACTGTGTGGCTTCCCCAGTCAGCACTGGCCATGCAGGTCCCCTCTGCTGACCCTGTCTGACCCTGTCCTCCTTTCCCATCTCCTTCATCAGGAGCCCCTTTCCAGGGTTCCTGCCTTTACCTGGCCACCCACCCTTCATCCTCTACATGGACAGCACAGACTTAAAAAATGGGGATCTGATTGCACTTTCTGTGGCTCCCACCCACTCAAGATGGAGCCAAACACCATAACTTCTGGCCCAGCAGTCCCGGATGGCTACCTCTCCCATGCAATCCAGCCTTGGTGCTCAGGCCTCAGGGTGTCCACACGCACTAGCCCTCTGTCCCACCAGCTCACTTGCCGCTATAAACTGTAGCTAAGGGCTCCTCGAGGCTGAGCATCCCACCTTCAATTGCTCCTGGGAACCTGGCCCTGGGAAGGAAGGCATGGCAGGTGGCTCCTGTGGGGTGGGGAGGGACGAGTGTGACCCAGACCTACCATGCTATCCTCCTCATCCCGAGGAGAGTAGGCAAGGGTGCTGGAGGAGGAGGGTGTCCTGCGATGCTGTTTGTATGTACTGGTCCCATCCGCTGCCAAGAAAAGAGGGCCAGGATGCCATGAGTGTGGGACTCAGGGGAAGGCCTGACTTACCATGGTGGACAGTGGGCCAGGCCGGGGCAGAGACTGGGTTGAACATCTGGCTAGTCCTCTCTATGAAGCTTCCTTGCCCATACATGTTTGTTCCCACTGCCTCCTGGATTTGAGGGCAACATGGCTGGGCTGGGGGTAACGGAAATATCCATTCCCAGGAAGTGCCTGAGCAGGGCACAGCATGAACTGGCCTGGTGCCTCCAGCGAGAGCCCCAGCCTACTCTGTGGACATCACTAGCTCTCAGCCCTCCCCAGCCCGAGGCAGGTGGGGAGGGCAGAGGCTCAGGTTGCCTCCCCAGGTCTAATCAGTGCCTGGAGCTTTGCCACCGGGCTCGGCTTGCCCTGGACAGTCCTAGTGCTGAACCCTGACACCCCCAGCCTGCCTGGGAGTGATGGTGGGAGGGATCATCTCTCGGCCTCTACAACCAGCTCCCAGCCAGATCCTGGGGCCACTTTGCCCAGCTGAGGCTCAAGGCCAACACTCGAGTGATTATACCTAAGGTCACCAGCAAGAGCTGGGACATTGTCTTATCTGACCTTCAACGTAACTCTGCCAGACGGGTTATCTGGTAGCCTCAGTACCTAGAGGAAACAGAGGCATGGAGAGGTCTGATGCTCCTCAGCTGGCATGTGGAGAGGCCAAGATGGCTGCTTGGTGCTCTAAGGCCACCCGTTCCCCACCTACTCTGCTGGCTCCGTCACAATCCGGAACTGGCCACCCTGGCTTCCTCCAGAGAAAGCCGCTGAGGCTCATGCCCTCCTCCTACTGCCTGTCGCCCTGGCTGCCCTAAGTAAGCACTGGTCGGGGTCCATATGGGAGCCAGAGAGCCTGCCACATAGCCCTGCAGGCAGCAGCCCGAGGCTAGGAATGGTTGCCACTGGCCTCAAGCCCCAGCCAGGCCCAGATGTCACAACAACCAGTTCCAAAGGCCTGGGTTTATGATACAGACTTCGACAGGCTACCCTGTGACTGGGACTCACCCATCTGCAATGAGAGGGGCCAGACAAGGCAATTGTTCGTGGCCGACTCTGACCCATCCCTACCACCAAGTGGGTCAGGGAGTGGGACAAGGGCAAGATGGGCCTGTAATTCACTGTCTGGGAGCTTTCAACTGCTTGATGAGGCTGTGTCATCTCTACAGGTAGATGAGGAATTAAGAAAGTTACTTGGGCCCTGGCCAGTTTGGCTCAGTGGTTGGAGCATTGGCCTACAGACAAGAGAGTCCCGGATTCGGTTCCCGCTAGGGGTACGTACCAAAAACAAAAACACCCAATTAGCAGCTGGTATGCTCCTACAAGGGTCTAAGTGCCAAAAAGGCAAATGAACAAACCACCCACAGACCTTGGCCCTGATAGGAAGGGCCTGCTGCCCTCGTGACTTTGGGAAGGAAGCCGTACCCTCATGTGCCAATTCTTCATGACCTCCTGAACACATAGCACTGGAGACATAGTTGCGGGATCAGGCTTACGAGAGGACCCCATGAGCACTTCTTATCCCCTACCCATGTCTGCATTGTCCCCAAGCCTAAACTTGGAGCCGGCAAGGAGCCTGGCAGGAATGAGCAGGGGCCACTGTGACAATGGACAGGTATGCATGGGGTGCCGGGGAAGTTGGGACAGCCCTCCCTGGAGAGGTGATGAGCAAGGCATCAGGAAGAAGGACCAGGAGGATGCTGGGGTGTGGGGCGGGGAGAAGGACACAGTGGCAAGAGCAGAGCCATAGGGAGCAAAACGGCAGACTCCTGCCTAGCTGGAGGTGGGGGGCACTGAGCTGAGCTGCCCACTCTCCAGTGCCAGCTCCCACTCCCCACCCCACCAAGAAGGTCCCCACAGGCCCTGGTAGAGTTAGGGGTGCCCAGATTCTGCCTAGCTGGGCTGGCCTGGCCTCACAGGCTCACCTTTGGTGATAGTGGTGACAGCTGAAAAGGCGGGCCCAAAGGTCGTTTCCATTCTGGTCTGGAAAGAGAACTGATGAGACTTGTTGACTCCAGGGAGGACATGGACACACATGGACATGCAATGACACACTTTCACACTAACACACCATGTGTGTGCATCACGGACACACCACTCACACACACGCACAGCCCGCCACAGGACCTCCAGGTAGGGAGGAGACTGCTCTGGAAGCTTTACTGGGGGAACCCTGGACCTATGCGGTGTACACAAAGAACAGACCTTTACCCATGGGGTGCCACTTACCCCGGTGGCGATGTCTGGGGTGGGAAGACTGGTAGGTCCCCCAGAGAAGCGGTTGTACCAGGCACTTTTGCCCGAGCTCATGCTCTAGAGAGGCATCTAGGGTCCTCCGGCAGCATCCCCTGTGGGTGGAGCATAAAGGGGGGCTTTAGAGATGCTGGCCAGGCCTGTCAGCTGGCCAGGGCTGCTCCACGTGGCAGGCCTGCTCTGACCAGTCCACCACGGGCACACCTCCGCCTTTCTCCATCACACTACCAACAAGGGCAGGACCACTGGGGCGGTCTTTTCCCCTTTCTCCCATCTCAGGTATGACAGGTCTGAGGGAGGAGGCCCTGGGTGCAGGAACGCAACTGCCACTCAATTTTACTTTTCCTTAAGGCTTAACCCTTCAGAAATGCCCACCCAGCTCTGACCCAGAGGTGGAGAGACCCCCACCCATGCTGTCTGCTCCTCTGGTCCAAGGGCTAAATGTCCCTGGGGCCAAGGCTGGGCACAAACAGAGTGACCGTTACATGTTTATTTCCTGCCATGATGACAGAGATGGCAAGACACTGGCCATGCCCTAGAGAACCTGTTGGGTGATGTACCTGAAGCCTAACTACTCACAAGCCTCATCACATACAGAAAGCCCTTTCAGGGCAGGGGGAGGAGGAGCCAAGAGAGAGGAGCCGCCTCTTCACTTTGTGTAGGTCACCTACCCTGGAACAAAGGATGTCCCCTTGCCCCCAAACTGTGTGACTCCCATCTCAGGGGTTAGTGGCAAGGAGAAGGCATAGTGTGAATCATTCCAGGCCTCCAACTACTCCACCCCTCAGGAGAGGGACTGGGGTGGCCCAGAAGCAATGGCCAGGCCCAGGTGTGCCCAGAGAAAAGGGAAGAGATTAGCCCAGGCCGGTTTGGCTCAGCGGTTGGAGCATTGGCCTGCGGATCAGAGAGTCCCGGGTTCGGTTCCCGCTAGGGGCACATACCTGCCCCTCCCCCAAAAAAAAGAAAGAAAAAGGAAGAGATTAGAGAGACTGAGGATAGCCAGAAGAGCTGCTCTACCGCCAGACAATGCCCACCCTCCAATGGCCCTATCAGCAGGCACTCTTCCAGTGTTCTTCCTACTGCCAGGACTCACAGCAGGCTGTAGTCAGAAGTCCCACCTGCCCCTACTTTGGTGGAGTTGACCATGTTGAGCCACAGGCCCAGGCGTGAATCTGGGTTCCCCATGGGGAGGGAGGCCAGACTCATTTTGCTCCCAGTGGTGCTATGGGAGGTGGGTGGGTAGAGATCTACCCTGTTGTCTGGAAGCTCCGCAGGCCTGAGAAGGGCTCCAAGTGAAAGGCTGCTGAGCCCCCCACACTGTGGAAGAAGGCGGGAGACACTCTCTGCCCCCATTCGAGGTAAGTACAGCATGGAGAGCAACTGCACAGTCCAACTGGTTCTGGCACTTTCTCCATCAGGCCCTCTTGACCTGGCCTGTCTGGCAATGTCTCCCTTCCTATACACCACGGCAATGCAGTGTGATCTGGGGTATACCCAGTAGTCCCCTGACCCAGCCTACAGGTCTGCAGGGAGGGGCTGGTTCCTGAGTCCTGTGGTCCCACACTGTGCTCATGAGCTATCTGCCATCCCTGCTGTCTCTTCGTCCCTCTCTCCCCATCTGCCCCTTCAAATGCCACCTGTAATGCCACCCTCCCAGCCTTCATGACTCAGTCCTCATTGGGACAGATCTCAGGCCCTGCAGTTGGCCCTGACACCAGGCACCACCCCACCCTGTGCTCTGACTGTCCTTCATGTACAGCTAGATAGGGAGTCCTGAGAGCTTAGCCAAAGCCTCCCCATCCTGTCCACTGCTCCCCCTGCTGTGACTTGAGGGGTTTGGCTCTCTAGCAGAGGTGTGAATGTGGGATGTTCCAGTCTGGAAACCTCACCTCCAGCACCGCTGCTGGTCTGCACGATAAGCAGGAAATATTGAGGGCCACCCTGCTTGGGGTAAGGACACAGCTCTAAGTAGGAGCTCCAGGAATCAACCAGCAGGTGGAAAGGCTCCACGCTCTCAGAAAACCCAAGTTTGGCTCCTGCCTCAGCACCACTGAGCAGAAAGAAGGGTGGGGACTCACAGGGAGGTCACTGGCTGACACTGACCTGCATTTTACAATCCATATGCTCCCTCTACTGCAAGCTCTCAGGGCCAAGAGGCTAGCTGATGGCTCCAGTGAGCTGTGCCCAAGGTCCAGGGCCAGAACCCCAGCAGGCACTCCCCCTGGGACCATGGCCAGCCCCTGTGGGTCCAGCGTTCCCAAGCGCCTTTCACTGCAGTCTGAGAAAGCAGGCATCTGCCTGTCCCTTGCTATAAAATGCAGTAAACAGAAAGGCATGCTGGGCTCACTAGGAAGTCCCAGGAGGCCAATAGCAGCCAGGCCCACAGCCCAGACACACAATCTGGTGAGGGACCTACAAGATTAGCCCACAAGTCAAGCTGAGCCAGGTAAGGAGGGAGGGAACCATTTCCGGGTTCACAGAGGTTCAGCTACAACCATAGCCAGGGATCAGGGTGGGCGGACCCGGGGCTGTAGTCCAGCACCCCCCATCTGTGTGCCCCGCCCAACCCTGAACACAGGGACTGCTTGCTAAGCATCTCAGAATTGAGCAAGATGCTCTCAGCCCAGATCCCTAAGGGCTGCATTTTGCAATAACAATCTTCCCCTTATGGTATCTTCCGGCCCTGTAGAACAAAACCCTAGCTATAGGGAGGCTGAGCCCAGCCGTCCTGGGAGGATGTGCCCACCCCATAGTCAGCCTGAGGCTTTCAGGCAGTCAGAAAGTTGTCAGCTAGACAAGAACCCCCACCTGCCTGAGGGCATTGCCTCTCCCAAACTGGGAAAAGCCTTGGACTGGGCAGGCTGGGGAGACTTGGGTAGGGGTGGGAGGGTGAGAAAAGGCTTTCCTCCCCTCAAGGTCCTCCAAGTCCCCACCCTGCCTGTTCCCAGGGCCTCAGGGGAGGCCAAGGGAGGGGCCCAGGAGTCTTTGTCTACTGATTTTCACATCCAAGGAGGCCTTTGGGTGCACTCAGTGTCTCATAAGGAACCAGAGAGCAACCTGCAGTGCTCTAGCCCCTCTTTAGGAAAGCCCCCACCAGACCCCTTCTCTGAGCAGCCTGTATGGGAGGGCAGGCCAGCTAGTTGGGAACCTCTCCCTAACCCACCCAGGATCTGCTGCCCCCACTTTCCCTTGGGAAGCACTCAGAGGAGTTGTGGATCAGGTATAGCTATAGTCCCTGCCCACCTGGGTCCTGTGGTTTGCAGCCAGTGGGGTGGGCAGCCCAGGCTGGCCATGCTGGTCAGGGACAGTGGGGTGGCCAGATTCAGGTCCCTACTAGGGCCAAGTCCTGCCTCAACACAGCTTCTCCAGCACCCTCAGGCCTTTGCACATCTTGCTCCCTCTGCCTGGCATGCTCTTCTAGCAACAGCAACTTTTAGGACAGTCTGCTTGCTGTGGGTCCCCCCACCCTACCCTAAGCCTTTAAGGAACCTTCAGTACTTTCTCAGCGCCCTGTTTCTTTCATAGTGCCTACCACATTCTTAATGATTTTGTCTGTATATTATCAGCCCCTCCCCCTCCCTAGATCACTGGTTCTTAAATGGGAAGGATTTTGTCCCCCAGGAGACGCTTGAAAACGTCTGGAGACATTTCTTGGTTGTTACAACGTGGGGTAAGGAAGGTAGGTTACTGGTATCTACTGGGTGGACCAGGGATGTGCCTCAACATCTTACAAGGCACAGCAGAGACCGATTGGCGCTTAGTGTCAAAGTGGCGAGGATGAGAAATCCTATACCAGAAGAGCCTATGAGAACTGGGATCATGCTCTCCGCAGGCTCCCGGCGCCTACAACGATGCCGGGGTCCCCGGCGGTGCTCAATAAATACAAAAAGAAAGAATGAATAGAGAAAAAGAAAGAAAGAATGAAGCGAGAGACGGGCCAGCTGACAGGCAGAGAGAGACAGGAGCGGAGACCCCGTTTCGTCTCAGCCCCGCCCCCCAAGGCTTAACCCCTCGCCGGACCCCGAAGCACCAAGCCCCCGCCCCACCGCGCGGCTCCGAGGCTTGAGCCCCCGGCCGGGCGCGCCGCGCGGACACTCACCCGCCCGCGGCCGCCCGGGAGTGGCAGGGCCACCCTCCCTCTTCATCGTACCCCCACGGCCGCCGGCTGGCAAAGGGACGGGACGCGCGAGCCGGAAGTGCTCCTGCGCTGAACCCATCGGGACTTGTAGTTCTCCGGATCTCCCGCGGCCCGAGTGGCCGCCTCAGTCGCGACTCTTCAGAAACTACGACTTCCGGTGACTCCGATATCGCCGGACGGGATTGGCAGCTGCCAAATCACTCTATTTGGCAAATCGGAGTCTGATTGGCTCTGTGCATCCGTCGCTCACAGGTTTAATTGCCTCTGCAAAAGGGAAGACCGCCTCCGAAAGAAATACCGTGGCATTATTGGTGGAAAGAAGGAGAGAAGCGAGAGGATCGCATCAGCAGAGGTGAAGGGGAAGGGGAAGGCAGGTACTTCCTTAGGGATTGTCCAATCGCCGAGGTGGAGCAGTTTCTATAAAAGCTTGAAGCTCACATGGTCTCCCTTTTTGGATCAAGTAGAGGACTCAGGGGTGTTTGGTTTTTGTACTCAGTGTACCACGCTCGAAGAGGAACTGGGAACCGAGTGAAGCTGAGGGGTCGTCCAAACTCATAGACCGGCGTAGCCCCGCGGTCCATCCTCGGCCTGAGCTCCACCGTGGTCCTCTGCGTTGTACACGTTCCTTGCCGGCCTCCTCCCTGTTCCGGCGGGAAAGTCCGAACCTCCAGAATTACAGCTCCCTATTGGTAAGACTGGGCCAGGCCTGGCTTCCCCGATGCCGCTGAGAGCCTATGATGAATTGCTTTAATTTCTGACACCTCGTATGAAAACTGCACATGCAGTCTGATTATTTTGCAAGACTGAGGCTTCAGGGTACCACCCCCCGCATCGGCGGCCGGGTCGAGCGGTGAAAACAGATGGGGAGAGTGGGGTTCTATCTAAATTCCGACACTGTTTGCCTTTCAGTGCCTTTGGTGACCTGATTGGAGACCATGAATTTAAATTAACATCAATCGGTCCAGGAACCTGGTGGTAAGGCTGGAGTAGTCCATATCTACTTGAAGTGCTTAGCAATAAAGCAAAGGTGGTATGAGTTGATTGGGGTGTAAGAGTCTTTATTTTCACGCTGGAGTACTCCATGGGAGGACTGGCTCATCCTTGATCAACCTTGGGAAGGAGTACAGAAATATTCTCTCTCATGCCTTATTCTCAATTTTTAAAATTTGGACACTGACGGCCGATCTGCTGCTAATCGCTTTTGGCATACAGAAACTCAAAGACAGTTTGCCTCAGTATTGTGGAAAGATCCCTTGACTAATTCTTGGCATGGCCCAGGCCCGGTACTAATCTGGGGCCAAGGCTCTGTATGTATTTATTCCAAAGAAATGAAATCTGCCAGATGGCTACCAGAGCACCTGGTCAAACAGATTGATCAAAGTCAAGAATAACAGATAACCATATAGATAACTCCAGGGACGAAGATTCGCCCTGAGAACCTTTTCCTGTTTTTTGTTTTTTTTTTTTTCATTTCAGGGATGGACCAGAAGGCTGCAATCTTACTGCTAGGGATGCTATTGCATCAATGCCTGCCCACAAAAAGGATTTAGTGCTCCAGTGAATCATCAGGAGCTGTTAAAAAATCTATATGGCCCCCCATGCGATTGCCGCGGAGGTACTTCTAGAACCAAGCCTAATTCTTACACTCGAACTACTGATTGTGGCAACAAAATTGCTTATTTGGAATGGAAGCCTAAAATAGGGGGAGGGTTCTCTCAGAGTTGGACATGCAATAATAAACCCCATATAATACCTGCTATAAAAGGCAGGCCAGGGCCCTGCCCGTCGGGGTGCAAAATATATACTGAAATGCATTCCACCTGTTATGATTCTGTGCAAGAATGTACAGGATCAGATAATAAAACCTATTTTACAGCCACATTACAAAGAACCTACTCGGGCACATTCGGGGGGGACTGGGGATCCAATATCGGGTCCCAGAAATACGCTCAAGCTACATGCCGAGCCACACCTGGGGAACAAGTATGCTGGAATAGAGTCGCCCCTATTCATGTATCTGTTGGTGGCGGTCCCCAGGATAAGGTCAGAACAAGTAGAGCAAATAATGAGGCGCATGTTCCCTGAAGTCAATTACCACCCACTGGCATTACCTAAATCAAGAGGGGTGGATCTAGACACCCAGACAACAGACATACTGGAAGCTACTCATAGGGCCCTCAATGTCTCCAGTCCCAATCTAGCGGAGGACTGTTGTTTATGCATGGCCCTAGGCACTCCTATGCCCCTTGCTATCCCTGCTAATTCCACCCCTCGTGCTATTGTGGACCTTACAGAGCTAAACTGTAGTACTAGCCTCCCTTTTAGGGTTCAACCTATAGATTTTAGAAACCCTCCCTGCTTTCAAGGTAATTTTCAAAATAATAGTTTTGATGTTGATGTAGGATTTGTTACATTTACCAACTGTAGTCAAGTTATTAATCATAGCTATCCTCTATGTCCTGGCAGGGGGCAGGTATTCATCTGTGGCGGAAATTTAGCATTCACGTTTCTACCCACGAATTGGACGGGGTTATGCGCGATAGCTACTCTGCTGCCCGATGTAGGTGTTGTATCTGGGAATGATCCTGCCCCTATTCCCAGTTTTGACTATGTCACAGGACGATCTAAAAGAGCTGTTCATTTTATCCCCATAATAGTGGGATTGGGCATCTCAGGGGCATTAGCCACTGGAACAGCAGGCTTGGGGGTTGCAGTACATTCTTACACCAAGCTATCTAACCAACTAATTGATGATGTTCAGACCCTATCCAGTACCATCCAAGACATCCAAGATCAGATAGACTCCCTGGCGGAGGTAGTCCTCCAGAACAGACGAGGATTAGATCTCCTTACAGCAGAACAGGGAGGGATCTGTCTAGCCTTGCAGGAATGCTGCTGCTTCTATGCCAGTAAGTCCGGCATCATCTGGGACAAGATCAAGAAATTGCAAGAAGACCTGATAAAAAGAAGAAAGGAACTATTTGACAACCCCCTCTGGAGTGGGCTAAATGGAGTGTTGCCTTATTTTCTACCCCTGCTGGGACCCTTGCTTGGGCTTTTACTGATTGTATCGCTAGGACGTTTCCTCTTCAATAAGGTGATGGCTTTTATCAGGTAGCAGATAGATGCCATTAAGATGCAACCTATACAGGTCCATTATCATAGACTTGAAATGGCTGACAGAGAAGCTCCCTCTAGCTGTGAGTCAATAAGCTATGACCATGCCCGATATGGCAAAAAGTGAGTCTCAAAAACCTTGTCACCTTGGTGCACTGGACTGGATAGCCAGAGACAGGCAACTGGAACTCACGCATCGCCAACCACCACCTAAGACGGGAACAAGGCGTTATGCTGCCTTGCTATTCCGATGATGGGTTCGGACAGGGTGGTTCCGTGTGCAAGTATCCTGACCTAAGACAGGCACAGTCCCCTCAAGGTACTATTCGGCCTTAAAAATTAAAGAAAAAAGGGGGACCTGTGGGAGACTTTTGCATGGCATCCATTTTGTCAGGATCTGCTCCGTCATCTTATATTCTTCTAGGGTTAAGTTTCTATTTTCTCTGCACTCATTTCCCGTAAGTTACCACCCTGCTGGGGAATTTTCCGTTGCAGTTTGACTGCCTAGCAACCCGCTTGTGTAAGCCCTAGCTCTTCCTCATTTCCTCCTCTATATATTGTATGAACTTCCTCTGAATAAACAAGACTTGATCAGAACCCTGTCTTGTCTCCATTCCTTGTGTCTCTTGTCACTCCACATCCTCACTCCCCCTCTAGAGTCCTGGTTGCTCGACCTGCGGGACGGGTCATACAGGCATGAAAATGGAAGTTAATACTTAGCACCTACTAAGACAATCTCTATTTTACCTGTAAGGCCAAAAGGTCATTTTCTATGCTTTTGTCCTAGGGCGTGTCATGAAACTAATTCCTTACTAACAGGATTAATTGGCCATCAAGTGCTTTCTTGGGTCTTGTGGAAGGAAGTTGAGTTGACCACCCAAGTTACCACATGCTCCTTGGACAGCATTGGGGTTCTGGGCAGCCCTGCTCTGCTTTCTTTGCCAACCTGGGTATGAGGGAGTGCCACCCTTTCAGTAAGTCGGGCTCTAGGCTTTGTCAAGAGCTCTAAAAAGTTACAAGAGATGAGACAGGCACTCCAGAAAACACAACTTTATTCACTAGGACTGAAAACAAAGGCTCTCAATCAAAAGGCTTGAAGATTTTAGTATAAGGTGTAGTGTACTACCAGCCCCCCAACCCCCTCAGCTTAACCTCTCCAAGTACAGGCCTCATCTGCTGAGATATTACTGTGGTCAGCAGGTGAGGGCTGGCAGTCCTAGTTTACCTGACATTTCTGTGATTTACCACATGCTATTTATTCCTTGTATTACAAAGCCATATTCCCAAGAGAATATAAGAGAGAGACCCTGTTGATTGACCCAGAGCCTCCTAGTGAGTGGGCTGAGAGCATGCACCCCTAGTCCTTGGCAAAAAAGCATGTAATTCTCAGTGAAGCCTTCTGGTTGGGGCATGGGCAGGAGTCCTGCTAGTCTCTGCCTGGGCAGCATGTGCAGCTGAAGACATGGCTTTTTAAGGAGTTAGGCACTAGTGCCTAAAATAAAGGCTGAGTATGTCCAGGAGATGGGGCGGGGGGGGGGGGGGGGGCAGCTGAGAGCACCAGGTGCCCTGCATAATATATGCCTTCCTACAGTTGCTTTTCCATGAAGGCCTTGGGGCTAAGGCTCTTGGACAGCAGCAGGTAAAGGGGGAAAGGGGGGCGGGTGCTGCAGACTGCTAGCTCCCTGGAACCCATTTGTTAGGACTTAAACTATATAGATTGCAACCCATATAAAGGAAGGGCTAGGCTCACTCAGCCTGAGAGTCCTGGAAACCCTGGGATTGATTGCTGGGTGACAAATCAGGGCTCTGTAGACCAGCTTTCCAGGGGCTGGGCTGAGCCTGGGCCTCCCATCAGGATGCCAGGTTCAGGGTGTGCAGCAGGAGGCCCTGCGGCCCTCTCTCTTGATATAGTCGTGCAGTTGGAAGTGGAGTTCATTGGGGCTCTTCATGGAACGCTGCTTCAGCTCCCTGTGGGGCATGGGTGACCATTGAACAGGGTGGTCTGTACCCCTTTGTTGGGTGTCCAGATCCTGGATCTGAATCTGGAGGTCTTCCTGGTGACTGCCAGGACTTACTTTGCTATAGCTGTGAAGGCCAAATCCACGTTGAGGCCCATCTTGGCACTGGTCTCCATGAAAGGCAACCCATACTCCTGTAAACAGCTATTGCCAGTCAGATGGCAGGCAGCCTGGTGGGAACAGCTCAGGCCCTTCAGCCACCCACCTTGCCCATGCTCACCTTGGCCAGCTTCTCCCCGTCCTCCCTCTTCACCACACGCTCCTGGGCAGAGTCCACCTAGCACAGGGGTCTTGGTGAGAGCCAGCCTGGGACTCACCCCTCTGTAGAGCCAGGGGAGGAGGACAGGCAGAGGTACCTACCTTATTCCCTAACAGCATGAGCACCACGTCGTTTTGGGCATATTCCTGGATCTCAGTCAGCCAGTCCTGTGATGGAAGAGCTGAGACCAGGCTGGAGGCTGGTGTTCCCCACACCCCACACAGTGCCTCTCAACAAGAGGGGCCCAGAAATTTAGCTGTGTGCCATACTGCGGTGCCTCTGACAAGTATCCAGGGTGTTTGGGTTAATGGAGCTGGAAGGTCACCTGCAACTCATACTCAACTTGGGCCACCAGGAGCCCAAAGGAGCCCTCTTTCCCCCTCCTTGCTTTCAGTAGGGTCCTCAGACCCTGATGCCATCTGCCTGAAAGAGGTTGGAGATGGGGTCAGGCCCTGTCATGGCCCGTCCCTCCCACATACACACACTCATCAACCCAGCAGGAAGCCACTGACCTGAATGTTGTCAAAGGAAGCCTTGTTGGTGACATCATAGAGCAGTAGCAGTGCTGGGGGCAGAGGGCCAGTGAGGACACCTCCAGTCACCCACAACCCTCCTCTGAGCAGAAGCCTAGGGAACAGGGTACACACAGACACAGACCACAGCCCAACTCCCTGGTCTGAGACAGTGCCCGTGAGCTCACCATGTGCATCACGATAATAGGCATGGGTGACACTGCGGAACCTCTCCTGCCCTGCTGTGTCCCAGATCTGCAATGGCAAGTATAGGCCAGTGATCAGGGCTGCCCAGTCCCTTTAGAGTACCCTCAACTCACCCTCCCCGTTATCTCACCTGCAACTTCACCTTCATGCCATCCACGTCCAGAACTTTGTTCTGAAACACAACCAACCAACTCTAGCAATGGGCCCAGTGCCATGTTCTGGCAGGGACCAAAGGGTGGGGAAGGAGAGAGGCAGGCAGTGCGGGGCCAGGACTGATCCTAAAGTCGATGAACATCTGAATTTATTCTTTTTTTTTTAAATCCTCACCTGAGGATATTTTTTTCAAATATCTTCAGAGTGGGAGGGGGAAAGAGAGAAACACCAATATGAGAGGGACACATCCATCAGTTGCCTCCCACAACCTAGTACATGCCCTTGGCTGGAATTGATCCTGTGACTCTGGTCTGCGGGCCGATGCTCTAACTGACACTCTAACCACTGAGCAAAACCAGCCAGGGCTGAATTCATTCTTGACCTGTTTATCCCTCAGTTGGCCAGGCTCTTCCCCCAACACTCACCTCCTGGTTCTCACCCTCTATCTGGAGGTAACACTTCCCCCTGAACCCAAGTCTTGGAGTCAACCCAGCTCTCCTTGTGCCTTTGGTGAGCCCATGACTCATGCTCAGAGGGTGCCCAGGCCTCTCTCCTGCTCAAATGGCCGTACTGATGGACTTGCAGGTTGCTGCCCTCCATGGTCATCAGTGTCTAATTTTGGGCCAGGTTGTTCCTCTGCTCACCCTGCAGGCCTGGCTCACCATCCCACCAGCTCCACTGCCCCTTGCCACCACCCACCACAGTCTGCCACTGAATCCAATTGCTCTGGCCCTCCCCCAGCACCTTTCAAGCTCAGCCCCCTCACCCTAGTTTGCCCTCCTCTCCCTTGTGCCCACCAAGTCACACCTTTCCCTTGCACTCTCCCCAGAGTGTAGACCCAAACCCCCTTGCCAGCCACTGGCATCTCTCTGCTCTTCACGTGCTGCTCCTTTTGTTAAAGCCATTTGCGTGACATTGGAAGTCACCTACCATATGACTCCAGGTCGATTATTAATACTCTGCCTCAGTTTTCCCATCCACAGATGGGGATAACCGAGGTGCCCACTGCTTGGCTGCTCCAATGACTATGAGCAACTATGTATGAAGCACAGAACTGTCTGGCCCAGAGTGAGGGCTAAGGGCTTTCTACTTTATTTTATTGATTAATTATTTGATTTTAGAGAGAGAGAGAGAGAGAGAGAGAAACATTGATGTGAGAGACACATCAGTTGGTTGCCTCCTGTACACAATCTGACTGGTGGCTAAACCTACAACCTAGGTATGTACCCTGACTGGAAATCGAACCTGCGACCTTCTGGTGCACAGGACAATGCTCCAACCAATTGAGCCAGGGTACATGTGTGCTCATTTATTTTTATTTATTTTTTATCCTCACCCAAGGACATTTTTCCATTTTCTATTCAGGTAGAGCGGGAGGGAGAGCGAGGAAGAGAGAGAGAGAGAAACATCGACGTGACAGGGACACATCGAGTGGCTGCCACCTGCATGACCCATCCAGGGCAGGGGAAAAACTGCAACTGAAGTACATGCCCTTAGCGGGAACCGAACCTGGGTGTCTCTGGACCGCAGGCCAACACTCTAATCATTGAGCCAAACCGGCCAGGGCACATTTGTTCTCATTTAAAAGCTGCTCTCCAGCCCAGCCACACAGTGTGGTTCAGTGGTTGAGCATCAACCTATGCACCAAGAGGTCGATGGTTCAATTCCAGGTCAGGACACATGCCCAGGTTGTGGGCCTGATCCCCAATGGAGGGCATGCAGGAGGTGGCCAATTGATGTTCTCTCTCATCAGTGTTTCTATCTCTCTCCCTCTCCTTTACTCTCTAAAAATCAATAAAGAAAAAAAAAAAAAAAGCTGCTCTCCACATGAGGATGGCAGTTCCCTGAGGACAGGGCCCAGTACAATAGTAATGAGAGTGCAGAACTCTGCCTCCCACACAGTGGGTGTACACTACGTGTTTGCTGCCTGGCCATGCTCTCTAGTCAGCCCTGAAGGGTGTGGCCTAACCCCAGTTGGTTTCCATCTGCTGGGTGGGGACAGGGGACAGCTGGAATGTCACTGTCTCCTTTTTCTCAAACTCCTGTCATGGTGCTTCTGGGTCTCCAGGGAACCAAGCCCAGCCATCTGCCAGGCTGGGGAAGACACTCCACCTTCCCTGACAGCTTGGAACAAGGTTATGAACCAATTGCCTCACCTCCCTCACCACCTGTCCCAGAGCCAAGAGGGAGGTGAGAAGGGGGGAAGCAGGGCCAGAATAGGGTCCTGGGTCTACACAGCCCCTTCTGGCACTTCAATCTTTACACTTCCTCCCAGAGGACTTAAGGGGACCTGAAGTACCCCCCAAACAGGGTAGAGAATGGTTCCCAGGCTGGAGGGAGCCCCCTTTTCCTGTCTCCAGAATGGGCTTTCCTCCCAGCCGCAAAACAACTGTGTCTAATTAAAGGGTGAGAAAAATGCAAATTCAGCATTTGCCAAGAACACATCAGCTGCTAAACAGCACCTCAGCACTGGCGCGTGCGAGAGGCAGGAGCTCTGATGCTGGAGCCCTGCAGGCCTCAGGTCATGATCCCCAACATTTCCTACTGACCCCATAAGCTGCTTGGGGTGCTGGGAGGGCTTTGGAGGCAAGAGCCCAGGAGCACCCCCAGAAGAATCCCAGGACTTTGGTAGGGGAGAGCAGCTGGGTAGGAGCATTTTCCACAAGCCTCCTCGACCAAGGGCAGGGACCCCTCCCCCAAGCAAGCCCCCAGTCTCTAGGTAATACCCTTTCCCCAGCTGCTGGATGGGGTGTGTGCTCAAGGGCCACAGCCACCTGGATGGCCTGCCTGAAACCTCCAGGGCCCCTTTATACAGAAGGCAGCGATGCTGGCCTTCCAAGTAGACACGGGCCTTGAATTTCCTCAGATAGCCCTGGGGGCACCAGTGCCCACCTACCCAGAGGCACAGGATAGAGCCCCAGGGTTGTGCTGTTCCCAGGTATAGGGGTACCATCTCTGCTTTGGTCAGATGCAGCCACCATCTGTCTCCAGGACCCGTGGGGTATCAGGAGGCAGGCAGCTTGATGTTTAAGGCATCCCACCTCAACCACCCTGACCCTGGGAGCCAGGGTTCCATCCAGGAGCTCCAACTCATGTCCATGCCAAGGAATAATGGAGAACCAGAAGTCAGGAGTGTTGTGAGAACTCAATGGGCTGGTGTGGGGGCCCAGGACATTAACCTCCACTCTTACCCGAAAGTCAATGCCCACGGTGGAGATGAAGGTCCCTGCCAGGAAAGCCCCATCCTTGAAACGCACAAGTAGGCAGGTCTTCCCCACGCCTGAGTCCCCCACCAGCATGACCTGAGGTGAGCAGGAGGGGCAGAGATGTTAGGGGCAGAGGGAACCAGGGTGCTGGCCCACTCAAAGAGGTGTCTGGTCTTTCCTGAGCTGGCCTATTCAGAGAGGGCTGAGGGTGAGGGGCAGGAATGGAGGGAGGTATCCCAGGCCTACAGGTGGATCCCCAGGACTTGGGTTCAGGACTGGGGAAAACACAGCAGCTTTGGTCCCAGCTGCAGCTTCTAACTCAAGAAAGAGGCCCATCTCTCCGGGCCCTGCCCCCCCCCCCCCAAAAAAGAAAGAAAGAGGCCCATCTCAATCAGTGGGAAATTGGGGGCAGCTGCCTCCATCCAGAGCCCTACCTAACCCCCATCTCCAGGCCCTGGACACCATACTTGATCTAGAAGGGGAGCATCTGGGACTAGGTGAGGAGCAGAGCCTGGGGATTGGTGGTTAGGGACCTCCTAGGAGGCCTGTGGGGGCCTTTGTGCCAGAGTGCTTCTAATCTCGTCCAGACTAAGGAGGAATGTGCCACATGAGGGTCAGATCTTGGCAGGAGGAGGGGCCCAAGCCAGGTCTGTGGGCAAGGAGGGGCAATCAGGCCTAATCTCTCCTCCATCCCTCCCGCACCGCTCCCCCAACCTGCTGCCAAAGACCCCGAAATTTAACCCCCTGTAAATCCCCCACAAATTCACAAGCTTCTGCCTTGGCCTGGAGAAAGCTCCGGTGCTCTACACCCACGGGCAAACCTCTTCTTACTTTCCCTGCCCTCTAAAAAGGAGGAGTCACGGACCCTGTGGGTGAGGGAAAGCAGCATATGGTAAATGATGAGATTGGGGCCCAGGAGGGGGCGGAGGCATTGGGGAGCGGGGAGAGAGCACCTGCCTCTGACTTTCGCGGGACCCCTTGTCCTGCCCTGCCATCTGGGGGTGGGCTAGGGGGCAGGCCTGTTGGGTATCCCGAACCCAGGTCTGACAGCTGTGTATGTGCGTGCGCGATGCGCCGTGCCAGCTGCTCCAGCCAGCTCCGCGCCGAGGTTCGCAGGACCCTGCACCCCTGCCCCGGAATCCCTCTGGAATCGGCTCTTGCCAGACGCCACCTGCTGCACTCGCATGGGTGGCGGGGGTGCCCGGCTCACCTTGAAGGCGACGTCGTAGAAATCACCACCACCGCCAAGCGAGGGCCTGCCAGGCTGCGGGGGCCCATTGTGCGGCGCCTCGGAGCCGGGGCGCGCAGTCCTGGGGCGCCCCGCCCGGGGCCCGTTGGCGGCGGGCAGCACTGAGGCAGAGGGAGCGCTGGTCCCCTTGCTCTTGGGAATCTTCTTCCTGGACATGGCGGGCGGGTGAGCACTCAGTGCTCTCCCACTGCAGTCCCAACACACGCACACTCGGCCGCTCGGCTCTCTGCTACCACGGAGCTCGACCCGGACCCGAACCCGTCCCGCAGCGGCGGCCCGGGCATCCTGGGCACTGGGCTCTCCACAGCCCCACCCCCGCCGCCCCACAGCCCTGCAGCCATTCAGCCCCGGTCTCCCTCCCCTGCCACCAATGGCTGCGCTGAGGCGGGGCCACGCAAATGAGCCAGCTGCCCCGGAGGCGGGGTCTTGAGCACCCAGCGCAGCCCGAGGTGATTCTGTCGGTGCGCCTCTTCCTGGTGGGCGCAGCTCCGTGGCCGCCGCCTGGCCTGGGCGGAGGTGTGGAGCGGGGTGGCCGGGGTGAGGGAGCACTCGGAATCCTGTCGCTCCTCTGCGCGCTGTGCGCCACTACTCCCCGCGCTGCTTCTTGCCCTGTGACCCCCCATCTCCAGGCCTGGGACAAGGGGAGTGCTCTGAGGTAGGGGGGCTGAGGCAATGGGCCTGCATGGGGGTTGGGCATCCTGGGATTTCGTCTCTTCTCAGTTAGAGATCCCACCTGGCGTGTTGCAGGGCCATCTCCTCCGGTGCGGGAGAGTCCAGGAAGCTCCAACACTCGGTCTTGGCAAACAAGCACAGGTGTACTAAGGGCTGGGGCTCAGCTGACAGCTGAGTATCAGGCAGAATTTAGCAGGCACTGCTGAGGTCAGGATTGAACTGTCAGCGGCCCTCCCCCTCAGCTCCTGTCCCCTGGGCTGAAGTCGTGGGATCCTTGGCGAAACGGAAGTCAGTGTCACAGCCAGCAGCAGGCCATCTACTCTCAAGGATCTGGTTGATGAAGGGGCTGGAAGGCCCCTCCCCCAGTCAGTGGCTGACCCTTGGACTTTCAGCACCAGGGTCTGGCCCCAAGCAAATCAACTGCTGATTATCAAAATCCCACACTGGTCCCTGGCAGACCCCTCTCCAGGGCCTGACACCTCCTCCCCATTTGGGCTGCCTGGAGCTCTGTCCCAGGACCCCCACTTAAGATACTCTGAGTTTTGAGAACTAGGTGGAAATGGTAATGAAATCCTGGAAGTGGTAAACCAAGATGCCCCTTGCCCAGGGTTTGGGGGTAGTAGGTGCAGACAGAAGGGCAGTACCTCCGGGATCAGTCTCTCTTTCATACCCTTCTGGGAACTGGAAGAATAATCTTGCTGTCCCTGCTCCCCCTCCCCTAGATGTGACAGCTATCACTGGAACCCTGGGCCCTTCAGAGGCCTGAGCCTTGTCAGTTGGCAGTGCCCAGAGTTCAAATAATTATACTGGGCAGACGTTGCTCACAGATGGAGGGATGCTGCCCAGCAGAGCAGTTCCTCGAGAGGACTTGGCAGGGACCTTCATGGGAAAGGCTGTGAAAAACTGCCCTTCACTAAGCATCATGATGTGCCAGGCACATGTCCTTTTCAAAACTTTCCCATGAGGTGGGCTCAGTATTCAGATGGGAAAACTCAGGCCCGGGGAAGGGAAGGGAGCTGTCCAAAGTCACCAAGCAAGGAAGTGACAGAGCCAGGATTTGCACTTGGGAACTCTGGCTCCAGAGAGCATAAACTGTCACATGGCAGGGTGGACCCAGGGGACCCCTGAGACCCATCCCTCAGGACCCTGTCATAGCTGGGGTACAAACCTGAGGAAGCCCCTGGCCTCCTTTCCTGTCTCATTCTTCTGGCCCCTCACTTTTTCCAGGCCAATGAATGACCTGATGTGAGGGTAGTGGGACCTGGGGTGGGGTTGTTGGGCTCCCACTGCTGTGTCCCTGGGGATTTCAGTTGTTCCACCCCTAGGGGCCCAACTTCAGGGTGGCTGGCCCAGGATCTCAGTTTGCCAATGCCTACTGGCCACAGGGTCCCAGGCAGTGGGCTCCCTACGTCCTTCTGCCGGCCACTGCTCAGAGCATCCCCAGGGCATGGAGCCATATGGGGTTTGGGTGACCTAGGGGTGGGGGCTGCAGGTGGGACAGCCTGAGTTGAGGGAAGGGGGAGCTAGTGCTGATGGGGTAACCAAGAAGAGAGGAGGTAGGCATACTAGAGAGGGTGAAAAGCAAGGAGGGGAGGAAAGTTGAGAGCAGCAGAGCAGAAAGGCTTGACCTTGCAACCTTTAAAATTAGGAGAATATATGTAAAACTCCAGGTCTCTGGTTTCTCTTGAAAAGAGGGAGTTCTGGGCTCCTACATTATAGCCCTCCCTCCCCACCCCCTCTTTTTTAAATCCTCACTCAAGGACATGCTTAGAGGAAGGGGGGGGGGAGGGAGAGAGAGAGAGAGAAACATTGACATGAGAGAGAAACATTGATCTGTTGCCTCCCGTATGCACTTGTATGTGCCTGAATGCTCCTATATGCTCCCCGACTGGGTATCAAACCTATAACCCAGGTATGTGCCCTGACCAGGAATTGAACTGGCAACCTTTCGTGCATGGGACAATGCTCAACCAATTTGAGCCACTCTGGCCAGGCCCCCTTTGCCTCTCTTGCCTTCGAGTAGTCCTTCTAATCTTTGATCATTATGTCTCTTGGTTTCTCTGTCATCTGTATCACCCGCTGGAATGTAAGATGTCTGGGCACAGCAAGTCTCTTCTCTTGGTCACTGCCATATCCCTACCAGCTGGCTCTGGGCCTCAATAAGCAGTTATTAAATTGGTGAAAGAAATATGAGTTTAAAACATGGCTCCCACTTCGGGAGGACACATCATTGCTAATAAGGATTTAAGGCAGAATGTGCTTCAATGTACAATGATAGACTAGTGTGATCAATTAGTAAGAACAGGCCTTGTGGAGGAGGGGCATTTTCACTGGGCTTTGAAGGCTAAGCAGGAGTTCAACAGAACAGGAGACAGAGAAACTTGCTAGGTGGAGGGATCAAATATGTGTAGGCTCAGATTGCCAGTAGGTGATCACTTTGAGCAGAAGAGGCCATAGTGTGGTCTAGTTGGTTAGAGGAAATGACAGATAATCCAACTGGGAACATAGGACGGACAGAGACTAGATTATAAGGCAAATGTAAATGTTTTGCCATGGAGCTTGGAAATTGTTATGGGAGCAATAGGGAGCCACGCGTGGTTTCTGAGCAGAGCAACAGAGAGAGGACACTGCTACAGGAAACTAAAGAGCAGCAGAAAGGGAATGGATGGTGCAGCCTGTGGACAGGGAGGTAAGTTTGAGGGGGATTGCAGTAACCCAAGGGGAGGTAATTGGGACAGAGGGAACCTCCAGGAGAGACAGAATCTGCAGGCCTCAGGTGAGGCAAAGAAGAGTCAGAGCCCGTAGGGCAGAGACAATGGAGTGCTGAGATGGATCAGTGATGGCAAATTCCCTGCTACTCCTCTCAGTCAGAAGGGAGGGTCTATGTTCCCAACTCTTGGGTCTGGGCAGGAGCTGTGATTGCTTTGCCGGCAGAAGTGACCCTGTGTCGATTTGTGGACTAAGAACTTACATACTGGCAGCTCCTTCCTGTTTCCTAGAACACTCATTCTTAGAACTCAGCTGCCATACTATGAGAAAGTCCAAGTGGCCTCTTTGAGAAACCCACACAGAGAGGAACCCACTTGCCAGCCATTTGAGTGAAGTAGTCATGTTGGCAGTGGATACTCTGGCCCTGGCAGAGTTATGCCATTCTACTGAGCCCTGTCCAAAATGGAGACTCGTGAGCATTTGGGGGGTGTTTGTTATACAGCTATAGAAAATGAGAACAGCCCTGGCCAGTTTGGCTCAGCGGTTAGAGCGTTGGCCTGCGGTCCGGAGAGACCCGGGTTTGGTTCCTGCTAAGGGCACGTACTTCGGTTGCAGTTTGTCCCCAGCCCTGGTTGGTCGTGCGGGTGGCAGCCACTCGATGTGTCCCTTCACGTCGATGTTTCTCTCTCTCTCTCCCTTCCTCTCTCTCCCTCCCACTCTATCTGTACAAAAAATGGAAAAATATCCTCGGGTGAGGATTAAAAAAAAAAAAAAGAAAAGAAAATGAGAACAGGCTGCCAGCCAGGGGAAGGAAAAGGGCCCATTTGGTGGAAAAGGACAGAGGGCAGACTTGGCTGGATCTGGGGATGCCCAGAATCTCAGGATCTTCAGACCCCTGCAGGACAGGTCAGGTTCCTGTGGCAGGGCATGGAATTGTGAGCCGTGGGTGGTGAGGACCATGTCCCACTGGGGAGGAGTGTCTACAGCCCTCGACCCTACTAGCACAGGGCTGGCTCTGCTGAGCAGGGGAGGGTCTACATGTGTCCATGACCCAGCAAAGGGATGGAGCAACCTCAGCCTCCCTGAGGCCTTACCCCTGGACTCTTAGCCACAGTACCCTCTGGCCCTGATTTCTGGTCCCCTCATGCCTGGGGCCTTTGGCTCCTGCACTCTATCCTTTGACTTGCCATCCTGGGTGTCTGACCCCCTTGTCCTGGAGTGATATGTGCCATGAGTCCCAGATACAACTACTCTCTAGGACCTGTGGTCTAGAGCAGTCTCTCTCTGTACTCCTATTTTCCAAGCCTTCTAGCTTCACATTTCATTCACCTACAGAGCACGGCCCTCAAGCCAGGCAGGCTCAGGAAGGAATGAGAGTCCTCTTTGACCCTCCAGGCTCTGCTTAGAACCCACTCTTCCAAGTAGCTTCTCTGGGTCATCCCACCCCCACTTCTTGCTCTGTGGACGCTCAGATTTGCTGTCCAGTGGTCCCCCAGGGGAATGTGAACCTGCCTCTGCACCAGCCTGTGAGCTTCCTCAGGACAATGGCCATCCTGCCTGCTCCTGCCCTCACCAAGTACTGAATGGAGAGCTGGGACTAAACAGGACAGAGCTAGGCTGGACTTCAGGAGCTCTTTAGCAAGGGGGACATGGCAAAGCCCCCAAAGTTTGTGCCACCAGAGCACCTTCCAAGAAGTCAGGCCTATGGAATTCAGCTGTCTGCAATCTTTGGAAAAGGAACCCTGGCTGGGAATGGTGCCAGAAGGTAGAGGCTCTGGCTGGGTTCCTGGCTTGCTGTGTGACTCTGGGCATGTGGCATCCCCTCTCTGAGCCTGTTTCCCTTTCTATGAAATGAGGGGGTGGAAGGAGCTGATCTCTGAGGTTCCTTCCAGTTCAAAC